ATAAGAAGATATAATAATATATAGATAATAAGAAGAATACAATGATATAAATATTATAAACAGAGAAATAAATATATAAAAATACGATAGATAAAAATACGATAGATAAAAGAATATAAATAATAAAAATAAATAAATACGAATAATCAAATCATCTATTTCATTAATATTTCATACAGAATGAATACAATTGATAATAAAATATAAACATAAATATTTATATATTCTGTATTTATCATACTTTTTATTTTTTTATTTTTATTTTATGAGCAAAATATAATAAATGGAAAATTCTAATTATGCAAATTATTTTTTTGCATCTTTTTTCTTTTTTGTAAATTATTTAGATGCATTTTTTCTATGCTTATTTTCGTACCCTTTAAATATTTTTCTTCATTCAATTGATTTTTATTCTATTCTCGTGTTAATGAAAAGAAATAATACATAAAAACATATAAAACAAAAACACAATAAATACACAATTCAAACAACATAACTATTTGAAGAAAAAACCAAAAGAAAGTGAAGTTAAATCGAAGAATTAAACAGTGAAATATTACAAATTATTATAACTAATATAACAACAATCTAAATATTTCTAATAAGTTGAATAATAAAGAATAATGTAACAAATATAAAATGAAAGAAACTGATGAAAATACAATTGAAATAATAATGAATAAAATGAATAAGAAAATGAATGTTTTTAAATGAAAAATACGAATAATGTAAATTAGTCGTTATTTGTTAAAATTGATTTAATTTCAATGTGTCGTTAATGTGTTGACATTAAAATACAATAAATAACAATGAATAACATATTTATTCATCATGACATTCAATATTAATATATTTGAGTCTTACTGTTTTATTATAACGAATTATCAATATAACAAATAAAACACATAATCACAATTCATTTACTAATTTTAATAATAATTGACATTTATCTTTATTAATTGTATTTGAAGTATCTCATTATATAGAATATATTCATAATGTTGTAAATTAATATTATTTAATTCTGTATTTTAGAGAATCAACTCATTAACATAATAATACAAATAATACATTTACTTTCAAGAAACAGGAAAATCACATATAACACAAATCAATAATAAATAAATGTTAGAGAATATCTATAATGAACATCATTAACAATGTCATGAAAAATGAAGAAATAAATATCATTTCTAGTATTAAAATATGTGATAACAACAATAAAATATATGAATGTTAATATAACTTAACATATTTGTTAAATTAATTGCAAATTCTATAAATTATTTTATTATTCTGAGCATTTAATAAACAATTAAACAATAAAACCAAATTAAATTATTCTTCATAACTAATATTTTTACACATTTCAAATGCTCCTTTTTCAATTATCATTTTATTTGGATTAATGTTGATTTCTTTTAATTTTATACATTCTTTAAAACTTTCTGTTGATATTTTAGTTATACTTTGTGGCAGTTGTATTTTTTCTATTTGTCCACAATATTTCATAAATCCTTTTGGTATTTCTTTAATCCCTTCATGTAATGTAATATTTGTTAATTTATTACAATAAGCAAAACAATCATTTCCAATATCTATTACATTTGATGGAATAGTAATTTCTTCAATTTGACTTCCTTCAAAACACCCATTTCCTATTCTCTTGACTTCGGTTGGTATTTCATTTCCATACTTTTCTCTGTCTTCAATAGTATATTCAATTTCTTCTATTTCATTATTGTCTTCTTTCATTATCATCCAAACCCAATATGGAATGCTCTGATAAATGTGTATTTTCCCTGAACTTCTTATCTTTACTAAACTTTTACAATTCCAAAAGCTACCTTTCCCAACATATCCAATGTCTTTATTCATTTGTATTTCTCTTAGTCTTGTACAATTAGAAAAACAATTATCTCCAATATATGTAACATATGAAATATTAACTTCAACCAATGATTTACAATTATTAAAACATTTGAATGGAAGTTTATAAAGATGTGGTGATAATTCTATTCGTGTTAAGTTTGTAAATCCATTAAAACATTCATCATCACAGTACCTAATATGTTCTGCAATTTCTATTTCTCTTATTTCTTTATCATAACATCTTCCTATCCAATTACATTCACTCTCTATCACTTCTCCATATTCTTCTTTGTCTTCTTCTTCATATTTAATATTACAACAATAAATATCATCATCTATCTCTTGAATATATTCTGAATATGAAATAACATCAACTAAAACATGTTTAACTCCTTTAATTTTCTTGTCATTTCTTGAATATAAAAATTGGTTCGTCAATTTAGGAAATATCTTTTTTGATTTAATACTGAATGGATTGTATCTCATCTTCTTATAAATCGCTGTATATTTCTTGTTCACCATCATCAGTTTTATATAATCCTCTTCATTTTTAATATACCTACAGACATTCATTATATTTTCAATAGTTAATTTCCCTTTCTTCTCTTGATATTTTGTGGTGGTATTTCCCATTTTCTCTAATTTGTTTTTTTTAAGATGAACAAATAACTCAATTATAATTACTTGTCACTATAGAATGTATGCAAAATATAATTGATGTGCTATTTGATACATATAAATACAAAATTCCCCCTTCTCCTCTCATTCCCATCACAATAACACTCACGACATTTCCAATGTATGTTATCACCCACACTGGTATATTCAGTCTTTCCATCACTTTGCTAACATTCTCTTTATTTTGCAAATACAGCATCATGACAATCAACGTACTTATCAAATATGCCATTCCTCCCCATTCACTCATCCAATATGAAATTACTCCATTCAATAATCCACTAAAGATAATATAAATCATATGATATTTCTCTCCATTCTTCTTAATCCTCTCAACAACCTCTTTACTTGTTTTTGGAATAACAATCACACTGCATTTCATTGATTTATACTCTTTCTTTATTTCTGCAATCATTCTTTTCTTTTTAAGTTCTTTCTCTTTTCCTTTAATTTTCTTCAAACACAATGAATTTGTATGAAATTGTGGAAGTCATTATTGTTGATTGATGAAGTGATGAATTGGAATTGAATAATGTGTTGTGTAACACCACAAATAACTAACAGATGAAAAGATAATGAATATTATTGTTATTTTAAGTTAAAAAAGATGAAAAGAATAGAAAAACAAAAGACAATGAAATGATGATTAATTATTATGAGAAATGAAAAGAAAAAGAAAGAGACAAACGAAACAATCAGAAATACAATATACATTCTTCAATATTGATGTAATGAGAATGACAAATTAATGATGTGTGAAATGATACATATTTTCAACAAGAAAGAAAATGATATTCATCAACAATAACTAAACACTAAACAAAACGAAAGTCATTTGTATTAACAATAACAATTAAACACCATTTTAACTTATAAAATGTTATAATCTATGTTAAAACATCTTTATTTTATTACTTATTTGTGTTATCAACATACCACGCTCTCTTCTTCCATTCATTGATATTGTTAATTCATATTTGATTTATTACTCATTGTCACACTTCATTGTTTGAATAAGTGTTAGGTATGTTGAATGAAATTCAAGGCATTATTAATTTAAATAATAATTAAGAAGAATTTGTGGATTATCATTGTTTGTTGTTGTTTTAATTCTTCTCATTCTTGTTGAAGTATTTCAATTTACTTCTATCATAAACAACAAGGAGTTTTGTCAAACATTTTAACTGAAGAAATGAAGGATTTTGAACAAGAAATAAGATAAAAGAAGAAAATAATGAGTTATGAAGGAAGTCAAAAAGAAATAGTTAGAGTAACAAGAATGAGGATAAAAGAAGGAAAGAAGTGATTTGAAAAGAGAAAATAAAGAAAGAGATTTCATTGTATTTTAGAAAATGGAAAGAAATTAGAATAAAATAATGTTATTAATTTGTTTTTTGGTATTTAACATCTATTTTTAGAAACATGAAAAGTTTGTTATTAAATATAGTTCATCTATTTTTATCTTTTATTTGTAAAAAGATAAAACAAAAATAACAAAATTGTATTGTTTTAATTGAAATTATAGTTTTATTTTTATTATTGTGTTATTTATATTTAATTAGATGCGATGAAACATTAAATAGAGAAATTCAATACAAGAAGAAGGGAAGAGAATGAGTCAAAAGAGAAAAGGAGGAAATAATACAAATAAATGATGTATGATAAGTTGTAAAATGAATGAAATAATGTTTGTATTAAAACAATGAATGTCAATGAGTAATAATGATAATACAATTTCATTCATCAATAGAATTAAAGAAATATGATATATTGTTAAATGAAAATAACATATAAATACCAACATATAATGAATATAACTAAATAAGAATAAATGAAGAATGAAGAAATATAATAAATGAACAATAACAAAGAAATACTGATAATGTTAATATAAAATGTTAAATAATAAATGAATAAATAGAAATACAGAATATATAAAATTACGAAATAAGAATAACTGATATTCAAATTGATACAAATAAATAATGAAATAACACAAAACAACAATGAATATTTATCAATAATTCAACATTCATTTTTAATTTACCATTTCATTCATTTTCAAATGAAAGAAATGTTCATATTCTTCATTGATTTGTTTTTATTCTTTTTTAATTCATTTTCAATTATTCAAGATGAATCATTTCAATTACTATGAATCGTTTTATTGTGAAAATATATTTTAACAAAGTGTAATTGATATTCCTTCATATTCAAATGAATGTTGTTTAAAACATAAATTTGTTTTATCATTTTCTTTATAAACAAGAATATCACTTCCATATTTTCCAAATTTAAACAAACAGTCATTTGATAGATTAAATAAATAAAATGCATTATCTTGTTGTTTAATATCAAATTTCATCGTTCATTTTTATTTTAATGAAAATACAAATTGTTTTGAATCATATATCCATTCATAAACTTTATCAATTTTAGAATTAAAACATCCTCCATTTTTATTTCATTCTTCATATTCAATATTAATTATTAGATGTTCTTTCTTCTTTATTCTTTGATTAAATACTGATGTATTAACATTAAAATTATCAATATTTGAATCAAATAGTATATTGTTTATTCTTTTTTTCTATTTATCTAGTTGTTGATTATTTCTTCAATTTCACAATTTATTATCCTCTCTTTTTAATACTTTCTAAATAACAATGATAATTATTAATAATATCATTAATTGATTGTTGAATAATTTGGAATGTTTTTACTACTTCTTTAATTAATTGGTTATTAATTACTGATTCAATTTCAATTTACTTTGACTGCTATAATTTCAAAATATGAATATTTAAATAGTTAAATACACTTTAATAACACAACAATTCAAGCATTATTTTAATCATTTTAATATTCATTAATTTTTATTGTTTTAGAATAACAATACTTATTATCATGAAAATGGAAGATAAAAATACGAATGGAAGAAACATCTCATCAGAGATGAAAATGAGAAAGAAATAGAAATACAACACAAATAAAAGAATAATTCAACTTCAAAAGAAATGATAAAATGATACAATAAGTGATGATAAATAAATCATAAAAGTAAAATCAAAAATG